TTATCCTATCCCAGGTATTCCTTAAAGAGGTGGGGTTTCAAAATGTCTCCGGAAGGTGGTGAGTGACTCCGCTGGCCTGGCGTCGTGAGGGAGCTTGTTCCACCATTGGGGTGCCAGAGCAGCGAACAGTTTTGACTGGGCTGAGCGGGAACTATGCTTCCGCAGAGGAAGGGGAGCCAGCAGGCCAGAGGTGGATGAACGCAATGCCCTCGTTTGGGTGTAGGGACTGATCAGAGCCCGAAGGTACAGAGGTGCCGTTCCCCTCACTGCTCCATAGGCAAGCACCATGGTCTTGTAACGGATGCGAGCTTCAACTGGAAGCAAGTGGAGTGTGCGGAGGAGGGGGGTGACGTGAGAGAACTTGGGAAGGTTGAACACCAGACGGGCTGCGGCGTTCTGGATGAGTTGTAGGGGTTTAATGGCACAGGCAGGGAGGCCAGCCAACAGCGAGTTGCAGTAATCCAGACGGGAGATGACAAGTGCCTGGATTAGGACCTGTGCCGCTTCCTGTGTAAGGCAGGGTCGTACTCTCCGAATGTTGTAGAGCATGAACCTGCAGGAGCGGGTCACCGCCTTGATGTTAGCGGAGAACGACAGGGTGTTGTCCAGGGTCACGCCAAGGCTCTTCGCACTCTGGGAGGAGGACACAACGGAGTTGTCAACCGTGATGGCGAGATCATGGAACGGGCAGTCCTTCCCCGGGAGGAAGAGCAGCTCCTGTCTTGCCAGGGTTCAGCTTGAGGTGGTGATCCGTCATCCATACTGATATGTCTGCCAGACATGCAGAGATGCGATTCGCCACCTGGTTATCAGAAGGGGGAAAGGAGAAGATTAGTTGTGTATCGTCAGCGTAGCAATGATAGGAGAGGCCATGTGAGGATATGACAGAGCCAAGTGACTTGGTGTATAGGGAGAAAAGGAGAGGGCCTAGAACTGAGCCCTGGGGGACACCAGTGGTGAGAGCACGTGGTGCGGAGACAGCTTCTCGCCACGCCACTTGGTAGGAGCGACCGGTCAGGTAGGACGCAATCCAGGAGTGAGCCGCGCCGGAGATGCCCAGCTCGGAGAGGGTGGAGAGGAGGATCTGATGGTTCACAGTATCAAAGGCAGCAGACAGGTCTAGAAGGACAAGAGCAGAGGAGAGAGAGTTAGCTTTAGCAGTGCGGAGAGCCTCCGTGACACAGAGAAGAGCAGTCTCAGTTGAATGACCAGTCCTGAAACCTGACTGGTTTGGATCAAGAAGGTCATTCTGAGAGAGATAGCAAGAGAGTTGGCTAAAGACGGCACGCTCAATAGTTTTGGAAAGAAAAGAAAGAAGGGATACTGGTCTGTAGTTGTTGACATCAGTGGGATCGAGTGTTGGTTTTTTGAGAAGGGGAGCAACTCTCGCTCTCTTGAAGACGGAAGGGACATGGCCAGCGGTCAAGGATGAGTGGATCAGCGAGGTGAGGTAGGGGAGAAGGTCACCGGAGATGGTCTGGAGAAGAGAGGAGGGGATGGGGTCAAGCGGGCAGGTTGTTGGGCGGCCTGCAGTCACAAGTCGCAGGATTTTATCTGGAGAGAGAGGGGGAGAAAGAAGTCAAAGCATAGGGTAGGGCAGTGTGAGTAGGACCAGCAGTGTCATTAGACTTAACAAACGAGGATCGGATGTCGTCAACCTTCTTTTCAAAGTGGTTGACGAAGTCATCCACAGAGAGAGAGGAGGGGGGGGGAGGGGGGGGAGGATTCAGGAGGGAGGAAAATGTGGCAAAGAGCTTCCTAGGGTTAGAGGCAGATGCTTGGAATTTAGAGTGGTAGAAAGTGGCCTTAGCAGCAGAAACAGATGAAGAAAATGTAGAGAGGAGGGAGTGAAAAGATGCCAGGTCGGCAGGGAGTTTAGTTTTCTTCCATTTCCGCTCCGCTGCCCGGAGCTCTGTTCTGTGAGCTCGCAATGAGTCATCAAGCCACGGAGCTGGAGGGGAGGACCGAGCCGGCCGGGAGGATAGGGGACACAGAGAGTCAAAGGATGCAGAAAGGGAGGAGAGGAGGGTTGAGGAGGCAGAATCAGGAGATTGGAGGGAGAAGTATTGAGCAGAGGGAAGAGATGATAGGATGGAAGAGGAGAGAGTAGTGGGGAGAGAGAGAGCGAAGGTTGCGGACGGCGCATTACCATCTGTGTAGGGGCAGAGTGAGTAGTGTTGGAGGAGAGCGAGAGAGAAAAGGAAACAAAGTAGTGGTCGGAGACATGGAGGGGAGTTGCAGTGAGATTAGTAGAAGAGCAGCATCTAGTAAAGATGAGGTCAAGCGTATTGCCTGCCTTGTGAGTAGGGGGGGACGGTGAGAGGGTGAGGTCAAAAGAGGAGAGGAGTGGAAAGAAGGAGGCAGAGAGAAATGAGTCAAATGTGGACATAGGGAGGTTGAAATCCCCCAAAACTGTGAGGGGTGAGCCATCCTCAGGAAAGGAACTTATCAAGGCGTCAAGCTCATTGATGAACTCTCCAAGGGAACCTGGAGGGCGATAGATGACAAGGATATTAAGCTTAAATGGGCTAGTGACTGTGACAGCATGGAATTCAAATGAGGAGATAGACAGGTGGGTTAGGGGAAAAATTGAGAATGTCCACTTGGGAGAGATGAGGATTCCTGTGCCACCACCCCTCTGACCAGATGCTCTCGGGGTATGCGAGAACACATGGTCAGACGAGGAGAGAGCAGTAGGAGTAGCAGTGTTTTCAGTGGTAATCCATGTTTCCGTCAGCGCCAGGAAGTCGAGGGACTGGAGGTTAGCATAGGCTGGGATGAAGTCAGCTTTGTTGGCAGCAGAACGGCAGTTCCAGAGGCTGCCTGAGACCTGGAACTCCAGGTGTGGGGTGCGTGCAGGGACCACCAGGTTAGAGAGGCAGCAGCCACGCGGTGTGAGGCGTTTGTGTAGCCTGTGCAGAGAGGAGAGAACAGGGATAGGCAGAGGCATAGTTGACAGGCTGTAGCAAATGGCTACAATAATGCAGAGGAGATCGGAATGAAATGAACTAAACATCTGGAAGAGGAGAGAGCAGGGCCTCCCTCACCACAACTCCCAAATATAACTCTCCCAACTTCCACCTCAGAAACTATAATTGTTGTAAACTACAGCGGTTCAATGTTTTCTAGGAATAGACTAACTTAGTTTATTCAGCTAGCTAACTAGGTGCATTATTATTCCGTGAAAAACGTCCGGGCACCTCGTCATAAGACGCCACAGCCAGCTAGCATGCCGGTCTCCAACAACACGGTTTAGCGCCAATACTCGGCCACAACAAACCACCAGTGTATCAACACGCAAGCAGATCGTTCGTGTCCATGTCTAACGTTGTGGGTTAGTCCCGACAGCTTGAGCGAGTCCATCGTCAACTTATTCAGCCAGTTAGTTAGCTAGAATAGTTAGCAAACTAGCTAGCCATTGCCTTCAGACAAAGAAGAACCCCTCCTTTCACGGCACGAACACACAGAGAGAGCCAAACTAACGTTAACTAGTCACCCATGTCCCGAATTCCTTGAACGACTCGGGCTATCAATGTGTAGGTTATGACTTACCCCTAGCAGCTACTGTTAGCTAGCCAAGTGCAAAGCTAGCCACTGAATTGACTCAGCCAGTTCGCGTCTGTTCGCTCGGTCGTTCCAGCTATTGTTTACATATGGGTGTGTGTGTTCAGTTCCGTCTGTATGGAGAGAGGCAACACAGGCAAGTCGGTGCTCTCAAAATCAGTTTTGTCATTGCTTTCCAGGATTGGGAATTGCAGTGTTGTAGTAGTTGCAAGTCATCCATTGCTTTCCTGTCTGATAGGTGTAAACATTAAACATATACTGTAACTGTCGGTAAGTCTCTGGTGTACAGCTGTATCCTGGAGTCCTGTTCAGCAACGAGTCTCCACACATGGCATTAATGACAAAAGAACACATTTGTCAACGTCAAACCCAATCAAAGCTTTACAGCTTTCCCTTAAAGATGTTATGGAGCATTATGTTGAGTGGAATGATTTACAGCACAACCTCGGGTAAGACTTTACTGCAGGTACACATTATGAAGCTGTAATAATGCAATGTAATACTTGTGGCATGAATGACCTCTCATTGAGTCCTTCCCTTCATTGCAGATTGAAATCTCTAATGATGTCACAGTCACCATGTGCTCATGAGCCTGTGCCACCGGAGAAGAGGTGAAAGGTCATCTGGACCTGTGATGGGTGATTTGAAGGAGTCAGGCGCAGGAGGGTAAATCACAGAATAACATGATTTATTCCGGAAAACAGAGTTACGCAGTAATGCGTCAAAACAGTCGCACTGGTACCAATAAAGCACACAGGGAAAATAACCCGGCGATACAAAATACAAGGAGCTCCACCGAGCTTCACTATCCTCACAATAATCAATCACACACAAAGACAAGGGGGCAGAGGGAACACTTATACAGGTACTGATGAGGGGATATGAACCAGGTGTGTGTAATGAACAAGACAAAACCAATGGAATTATGAAATGAGGAGCGGCAGTGGCTAGAAGGCCGGTGACGATGAACACCAAAGCCTGCCCGAACAAGGAGAGGTGTCAGCTTCGGAGGGAGTCGTGACAGGACCATTACCATATATTGTGTAAGTCCAGCTCCAAAGGTTAGGGGTCGGGGGTATATTACTTTTGAGGGTTTTCAGATCAAACTGTTTAAGTACTTGAAAAACTGAAATTATGTGGCTTATGTGAGAAAACCTTGTTAATGTTTTTGTGGCGTTGCTTCTATGGTCCCCATGAATATCCCCATGGATCCTCTCTTCCCCTCCCTGACCAACGGTTTGTCAAAGCCTCCGAAATTCCATCTAGTTGATCTTCCCCCAGCCCCCCCCCCTCCTGGGTGCCATCTGCTCTCACGTACGTTTCTCTTTTTACCTCTCTTTCTCTCTCTCCATCTCTCTCTCTCTCTTTCTCTCTTTCTCTCTTACTCGCCTCCTTCTTCTCTCTCGCTCTCTCTCTCTCTCACTCTTTCTCTCTCACCTCACTCACCACTCTCCTATCCCTGAACGGCTCAGACACAGCTCTCAAGATGTCCTGGACGCATACAACCTTCCTTGCGCTTGTCGCTGTGCTCCTGTCACTGTCCTGTGAGTGAGTCTGCCTGCAGGGGGACTGTATTGTCAGGGAATAATATATATTTACGGGGTGTGAATGAATACTTGAGGAGGATGGTGCAAGTAATATTTTCTGTGATATCGCTAGAGAAACTTAGAGAGTATTCTGAGGGCAGAGTGACTCTGTTACTAGTGATAGTGGTATGGGAACATTGTGATAGAGAGCTCAACGCTGATCTGATGTTTTGTTCTATCATCATGTACCTCTGAACCACTGCAGTGTCTCAGGAGGTAGACAGTGCAGCTGTCCCCGATGATAAGGGCATTACCAAGGCAACCGACCCGAGAGGTGAGCAGCACGACCTTCACTGAACCCTCTTCGTCTTCTGCAGCATATACAACCTAATTGCTTGGTGCTGGCTGGGACTTCAAACCTTACTGAACGCACTCTTTTTTTGCTTGCTGCTAAATCTACCCTCCTCTCATCTCTTATGCGATTGTAACATAATGGAAACGTTTTGTTGTCTTTGTTTTCCCCGATCTGGGAGCGAACTCACCCCCCTCTGCATACCAACACAACGGCTCTCAACTCAAAGTCTTCTCTTTATCTTTTCTTCTCAGGTCCACTGAGGGAGATCTTCATGCCCGAGGCCGATGCAGCAAACTTCTTCAGACGCCGCAGCAGAAGAGCTGCGAAGTCTCAGGACGAAATCGACGGTGAATGAAGCTTTCTATGTCTCTTTGTTTGGATCTCTTTTAGGATCTCCTTTATGTTGCTTGGATGTTTCTGGGGTTGTTTTTCACCAATGGTCAGTGGTGAACTGTCAGTGGATGGTGTGGTGTTGCGTGCCTCTGTCTGTGGATGCCTGAACGAAGCATAGCTTGTGTGTCTAGCCTAGATGGATGGTTTGGTCCCACACATCTCTAGATTGATCAATGCTTTTTAAGGTCAGCTGAATGTTTTGGTTGCAGAGGTGGTCTACTACTGCACTATGCCAGAGTATATTACTGGATGGAGTTTATATAGCTGCCTTCTACTGTGGATGGAGTTTACATTGCTGCAATTGAATACAGCAATGGCTGAAGTCCCAGTGTTTTATCTGTATTTGTAATGATTCGGTCCCGTGTGGCTCAGTTGGTAGAGCAACACCACTGTGGTTCGATTCCCATGTGGGACCAGTACGAACAAATATGAAAATGTATGCACTCACTACTGTAAGTTGCTCTGGATAAGAGCGTCTGCTAAATGACAAAAATGTCAAATGATTCAGCTGAATAGGTAATGTTATGACACTGAGTGAATACAGATTGAATACTGTTATGGCTGTACTGAGATGGAGAATAGTGTTTTTACTGTGGAAAGGCTGGCTGACAACTGGAAGCTGCAAAACCTATAGCCCTGGACACCTCAGGTGCTATACCCTTGCCAGACCGCCTCAGACCAGAGTTTTGTTCAGTAGGGCACACTACAAAACACTAAAATGTTTTGCAACAGAAAACCAAACCAAGTGTTCTCATTGGACAAGTTTAGGTATGGTACCTCCCCGTTTCAAACGTTTTCTCCCCACTGAACATGACCCAGCTATAAACGGTAGCATATTGGAGGCTGCCGCAGGAGCCACAGGGTACCATGGAGCATTTAGCTTCTCTCCTCCTTTTATCCTACTCAGCTAAAACTGAGGAGTAGACAAAAATCTCTACTTTCATTTCACTTCTGAGAAAAGTACATGTATTATGCAGGGAAAGGTGATACTTAGTCAGTTACAAAACTGAATGAATTCAACTGAAATGTGTCTTCCACATTTAACCCAACCCCTCTGAATCAGAGAGGTGCGGGAGTTTCCTTAATCGACATCATCAGGGTCAGGGGAAGAGTTGTTGTGGGGGTTAACTGCCTTGTTCAAAGGCAGAATGGCAGATTTGTACACCTTTCCAGCTCAGGGATTTGAACAAGCAACCTTTCAGGTTACTATCCCAACACTCTAACCACTAGGACACGAGAGGAGACCTTGTGAAAGTTCCCATAAGTGAGATGTTTGATTGTTTTCTTTAACTACTCAGTTGACGGCCAGGTGAGAGTTTAGCTGGAGAAAGAGAGAAAGAGAGCCGCTGAGAAGCGAGTTACATAATACATAAACTGTTAGCTGAAAGAAGTTAGAGATAGAGAAGAAAAAGAGAGAAAGAGAGAGTGAGATGGAGTGGTTTGTATTCAGTCTGGATATGGAGAGAGAGAGCAGTTAGAAGTTGAGTGTGGAATGTGCCAACACACAGTGGAGGGAGGGGGTCAGAGAGAAAAGAGACGGACAGAGCGAGATAAAAATGTGTTTACTTTTTTAAAGCCACTTTCGCAGCCACATGTTGACACTACTAAACCACAGTAAGTCACATGAGACCTGGAGAAAATGTGGATAAACCTATAGTGTGTGTGTGTGTACAGTCGTGGTCAAAAGTTTTGAGAATGACACAAATACTAATTTTCACAAAGTCTGCTGCCTCAGTTTTGATGATGGCAATTTGCATATACTCCAGAATGTCATGAAGAGTGATCAGATGAATTGCAATTAATTGCAAAGTCTCTCTTTGCCATGAAAATGAACTTAATCCCCAAAAAACATTTCCACTGCATTTCAGCCCTGCCACAAAAGGACCAGCTGCCATCATGTCAGTGATTCTCTCGTTAACACAGGCAAGAGTGTTGACGAGGACAAGGCTGGAGATCACTCTGTCATGCTGATTGAGTTAGAATAACAGACTGGAAGGAGGGTGGTGCTTGAAATCATTGTTATTCCTCTGCTAACCATGGTTACCTGCAAGGAAACACGTGCCGTCATCATTGCTTTGCACAAAAAGGGCTTCACAGGCAAGGATATTGCTGCTAGTAAGATTGCACCTAAATCAACCATTTATCGGATCATCAAGAACTTCAAGGAGAGAGGTTCAATTATAGTGAAGAAGGTGTCAGGGCGCCCAAGAAAGTCCAGCAAGCTCCAGGACCGCCTCCTAAAGTTGATTCAGCTGCGGGATCGGGGCACCACCAGTGCAGAGCTTGCTCAGGAATGGCAGCAGGCAGGTGTGAGTGCATCTGCACGCACAGTGAGGCGAAGACTTTTGGAGGATGGCCTGGTGTCAAGAAGGGCAGCAAAGAAGCCACTTCTCTCCAGGAAAAATATCAGGGACAGACTGATATTCTGTAAAAGGTACAGGGATTGGACTGCTGAGGACTGGGGTAAAGTCATTTTCTCTGATGAATCACCTTTCCGATTGTCTGGGGCATCCGGAAAACACCTTGTCCGGAGAAGACAAGGTGAGCGCTACCATCAGTCCTGTGTCATGCCAACAGTATCCTCCCGAGTGGCACAGTGGTTTAAGGCACTGCAACGCAGTGCTAGCTGTGCCACTAGAGATCCTGGTTCAAATCCAGGCTCTGTTGTAGCTGGCTGCGACCGGGAGACCCATGGGGCAGTGCACAATTGGCCCAGTGTTGTCCAGGGTATGGGGAGGGAATGGCCGGCAGGGATGTAGCTCAGTTGGTTGTGGGTTCAATTCCCACGGGGGGCCAGTGTAAAAAATAATGTATGCACTAACTGTAAGTCGCTCTGGATAAGAGTGTCTGCTAAATGACTAAAATGTAAAGCATCCTGAGACCATTCGTGTGGGGTTGCTTCTCAGCCAAGGGAGTGGGCTCACTCACAATTTTGCCTAAGAACACAGTCATGAATAAAGAATGGTACCAACACATCCTCCGAGAGCAACTTCTCCCAACCATCCAAGAACAGTTTGGTGACGAACAATGCCTTTTCCAGCATAATGGAGCACCTTGTCACAAGGCAAAAGTGATAACTAAGTGGCTCGGGGAACAAAACATCGACATTTTGGGTCCATGGCCAGGAAACTCCCCAGACCTTAATCCCATTGAGAACTTGTGGTCGATCCTCAAGAGGCGGGTGGACAAACAAAAACCCACAAATTCGGACAAATCCAAGCATTGATTATGCAAGAATGGGCTGCCATCAGTCAGGATGTGGCCCAGAAGTTAATTGACAGCATGCCAGGGCGGATTGCAGAGGTCTTGAAAAAGAAGGGTCAACATTGCAAATATTGACTCTTTGCATAAACTTAATGTAATTGTTAATAAAATCATTTGACACTTATGGAATGCTTGTAATTCTACTTCAGTATACCATAGTAAAATCTGACAAAAATATCTCATAACACTGAAGCAGCGAACTTTGTGAAGACCAATACTTGTGTCATTCTCAAAACTTTTGACCACGACTGTACATCTGCATTTCTTGATGTTTGGGGTTTTAGGCTGGGTTTCTGTTTAAGCACATCTGTTGATGTAAAAAGGGCTTAATACATTTATTTGATTGATTTATTGATTGATTGTGTGTCTGTGTTTTTTGTTTTCCTATCCTTGTGGGGACCAGAAGTCCCAGAAGTCCAACATCAATGTGCCTTTCACCTGTATTCAAATGGGTGAACCTGTTTGACTTTGGGGTTTTAGGTGTTGAGGTTATGCCATGTAGAAGTGAGTGGGTGGGTCAAATACTGTAAGACAGGAGTAAGGAGCATATCACTCATTTGCCCTGTGAGAAAATAAACTAGCAAAGAGTGTCTTTGTCTGTGTGTCACATTATCATCGTGATGTGTAAATAAGTGACTTGCATACAGTGCATTATCCCGATGATTGACATAACTCCTGAGTGCGCAGTGGTCTAAGGCACTGACGCATGCTAACGGCCACTAGAGATCTGGTTCGAATCCAGCTCGTCGCGCGGCCCGTACGGAGAATCATGGGCGGCGCACAATGCCAGCGTGTCAGTGGAGAGGATGGCGTGCAGGATGTACTAGTTAAATAAGCTGGCGTTTGCACGCCAGGTTGTGGGTTCGTTTCCCATGGGGGGCCATGGCGCTAGCAACGCCAGAGTTGTGGGTTCGATTCCCACGGGGGGCCAGTACGAAAAATGTATGCACTCACTAACTGTAAGTTGCTCTGGATAAGAGCGTCTGCTAAAATGTAAATGTAAAATAACCCTTGGTTGATGATATTGGTGGTCACCTTTTGAGTTTTATTCACACTGGGTCATTACTTCACAACTCCCTGACCACCGAGCTGCAAAGGAACGCTGCAAGCTTTACCATTTCAACTGTTAATCTTATTGCTTATCCATTTAGTTGTTATTTACAACTACCTGACTGACCTGAATTCCCAAAAGAAAATTCCAAAGGGAGTCGTTATGCAGGCAAAGACCTGTCCCATGGAACAACAATGAAGACAAGGTCAGAGGTCAGGACTAGGAGAGGATTCCATGGCCCAAACCCAGAGTCTGCCTGTACTCTGCAGAGATCCAATCCTACGTAATGTTGTTGGTGCAGTTTGACGCAGGTGAAACTATTTAATTTACTTCCTTTTTATTTTGATCCTCCCCTATAGCTGAACAGAGGCAGGTGCTGGCTGCAGATGAGCGGAAGAGAGAGAACCATGAGGAACAGAGGAATAAGTTTGAGAACTACGCTGAGGAGGAGCAAGACGGTATAATAATAGACCTTGTACAAAACATTAGGAACACCTGTTCTTTCCATTATAATAATTTATTACATTTCTATAGCGCTTTTCATAATCTCAAAGTGCTTCAAAAACTAAAAAGCAATACATCATCATGAGTAGCCTAACTATAGTTAGGTCAACCAATAGAGGCCAAGTCATCCTCCAAAGATAGAGAGGGTCAGTTCATGGCTTGATCAGAGGAAGGTGTTCAGCGAGATGGTTGATGAAGAAGAGAGGGTTGCTCTGGGAACCAGCCTGATTCGTGGTCCTCTGAGGCTCAATTGGTAGAGCATGGCGCTTGTAACGCCAGAGTAGTGGGTTCGATTCCCGGGACCACCCATACGTAAAAATGTATGCGCGCATGACTGTAAGTCGCTTTGGATAAAAGCGTCTGCTAAATGGCATATTATTATTATTATTATTATTGAACACCACGCTTGGATCCAAGTGGGTTTGCAGTTTCAAAGTCATCATAGTACAAATGGCATATTATTTATTTGTGTAGCTACTGGACTTCTCCTCCTTCCTAATGTATGCCACCCACTTGAGTGATGCCTTGACAGCCAGAAAGCTCACCACACACAGTTCAGAGTAGTAGCCAGTCGCCCTCACTACGAGCCCTCTGCCTCAGCATTCCTTTACTACATCTCCCATTCCTCTCAAGCTTCAGGTGACTCTTCAATTGATGTTTTCAAAAGATCAGGAACCAGCAGCCAGGTGAAACAAAAAAGCTGGTACAGTGTACAGATGCATAATTCTAACAAAAACTATTAAAAAGAGTTGACTTGCCAGTCCATCTGCAAATCTGTGGATCAAAACCACCAGAAATATGCAATAAAACTCAATGTATTCAAAAACAAAACAGCTGATTAAAAAAACACAGTTAAAAACACAAAAATAATTAAATATGTACATATTTACAGAAACTTTTTGCTTAGGCTGCTACTAGGGCGACATGGCAACTACCATGACATAGACTGACCAGGTGAATCCAGGTGAAAGCTATGATCCCTTATTGTTAAATCCACTTCAATCGGTTTAGATGAAGGGGGGGAGACAGGTTAAAGAAGGATTTTTAAGCCTTGAGACAGTTGAGACATGGATTGTGAATGTGTGCCATTCAGAGGGTGAATGGGCAAGACAAATGATTTAAGTGCCTTTGAACGGGGGATGGTAGTAGGTGCCAGGAGCACCGGTTTGAGTGTGTCAAGAACTGCAGCGCTGCTGGGTTTTCCATGCTCAACAGTTTCCTATGTGTATTAAGAATGGTCCACCACCCAAAGGACATCCAGCCAATTTGACACAACTGTGGGAAGCATTGGAGTCAACATGGGCCAGCATCCCTATGGAACACTTTCAACACCTTGTAGAGTCCATGCCCCGACGAATTGAGGCTGTTCCTAATGTTTTCTACACAGTGTATAATATACTGTATAATACCTTAATACACAGCATAATCAATAACAGGTTATTTTGTATTCTACTCCTGTAACAGTCCCTCTTTAGTTTGGGTGTATAATCAGAGCACAGTATGGCAGTAGGAAGGTAGCCTATGTTTATCAGTGAATTGATCCAGTAACTTGGATCTGTCTACCCTCCTCATTCCCTCCCATAACTTACCTCTGACATCAGAGCAAGACGAGAGGACACGGGAGAGCACCGAGCAGTGGCGAGAGTTCCACTATGACGGCCTGCATCCCCCCCAGGAGTACAACCGCCAATCTACCTGAGAGACATCACCGCCCTCCTGGAGAACAGTGGTATTACAGCAGGCAGGACACAGAGGGCCCGCCCCCTACTATAGACACACCTCTACCTGTAAAACTTTTTATCATCTCATGTACACTTTCATAAATACATTGGAAAGACTTTAGGTAGAAGGTGATCTCTTTTATAAATAAGCGTTTTTAAAGAAACAAATTAATGTTATTCTTCTGTGCTGGTTTGAAAGTTTGCATGTGTGTTGCATTTTCGCATGCTGTGTGACTATACAATGATGTAGATTTGAACATATACTGTACCAGTCAAAAGTTTGGACACACGTACTCATTCAAGGGTTTTTCTTAATTTTTTACTATTTTCTACATTGTAGAATAATAGTGAATACATCAAAACTATGAAATAACACATATGGAATCATGTAGTAAACAAAAAAGTGTTAAACAAATCAAAATATATTTTATATTTGAGAATCTTCAAATAGCCACCCTTTGCCTTGTTGACAGCTTTGCACACTCTTGGCATTCTCTCAACCAGCTTCATGAGGTAGTCACCTGGAATGCATTTCAATTAACAGGTGTGCCTTGTTAAAAGTTAATTTGTGGAATTTATTTCCTTCTTAATGCGTTTGAGCCAATCAGTTGTGTTGTGACAAGGTAATGGGGGGTATACAGAAGTCTTTGAAGATTTACACAAACAAGGATATTGATAAGAATCCACAACTCAAATCCAGCACCTAAAACCGGTAAAGGATAAATGCTCTGCATTGGCTGGGAATTTCACCCAGGTTAAGTGCTTGGAAGGCTGCTATGCTCACTATTATACCACCAATAAAATGTGTCTTTATACATAACATGGAGACATCAATTCATATCCTGACTGTCATTTGTGTGGAAACAAAAATTCTTTGACCAAATGGCTCGTTGGTCTAGGTGTATGATTCTGGCTTAGGATGCGAGAGGTTCCTGGTAAACCAATACCCGTTACCTTCAAACGATTCCAGTGACACTTGTGGGGAACGTAGGGCAAAACAGAGAACCTTTTGACAAATGGGGTCACATTAGTTTGTAGCCTTTGAAAGTTTATTCAAGTGCAGTCGCAAAAAACCATCAAGCGCTATGATGAAACTGGCTCTCATGAGGACCGCCACAGGAAAGGAAGACCCAGAGTTACCTCTGCTGCAGAGGATAAGTTCATTAGTTACCAGCCTCAGAAATTGCAGCCCAAGTAAATGCTTCACAGAGTTCAAATAAACAGACACATCTCAACATCAACTGTTCAGAGGAGACTGCGTGAATCAGGCCTTCATGGTCGAATTGCTGCAGAGAAACCACTACTAAAGGACACCAATAAGAAGAAGAGACTTGCTTGGGCCAAGAAACACGAGCAATGGACATTAGACCGGTGGAAATCTGTCCTTTGGTCTGGAGTCCAAATTTGAGATTTTTGGTTCCAACTGCCATGTCTTTGTGAGACGCAGAGTAGGTGAACGGATTTTCTCTGAATGTGTAGATCCCACCATGAAGCATGGAGGAGGAGGTGTGATGGTGTGGGGGTGCTTTGCTTGTGACACTGTCTGTGATTTATTTAAATTCAAGGCACACTTAACCAGCATGGCTCCCACAGCATTCTGCAGCGATACGCCATCCCATCTGGTTTGCGATTAGTGGGATTATCATTTGTTTTTCAAAAGGACAATGACCCAACACACCTCCAGGCTGTGGAAGGGCTATTTGACCAAGAAGGAGAGTGATGGAGTACTGCATCAGATGACCTGGCCTCCACAATCACCCGACTTCAACCCAATTGAGATGGTTTGGGATGAGTTGTACCGCAGAGTGAAGGAAAAGCAGCCAACAAGTGCTCAACATATGTGGGAACTCCTTCAAGACTGTTGGAAAAGCACTCCAGGTGAAGCTTTTTGAGAGAATGCCAAGAGTGTTCAAAGCTGTCATCAAGGCAAAGGGTGGCTACTTTGAAGAATCTCAAATATAAAATGTAGCATAGTTTTGTTTGATAAAATCCATTTTTATATTCAAATGTAGGAACTGGGTTCTACAGTTTGAACCCCTGCTGTCTCTGGCTCCACACCCATCCCCCCCGGCCATCTAGATGTGTTAAAGTTAGTGTATAAACTAATGATCCATCATGTATGACATTCCTGGGAGTGTGTAAGCTTACATTTTGTATTACCATATCATTTTTGTATGTTCTCTATCAATTGACCAAGTTCGGCACATTTGGGCAGACTTGATACAAAATAGTCCAGTATTGCAATGCTTCACTGGATCAATCTGAAACTACAATATTATATTGTGGCCTTTCTCTTGCATTTCAAAGATAGAACAAAAAAAGTAATAGAAAACGCATGTTTTTTGGTTTGTATGATCTTTTACCAGATCTAGTGTGTTATATTCTCCTACATTAATTTCACATTTCCACAAACGTCAAAGTGTTTCCTTTCAAATGGTATCAAGAATATGCATATCCTTGCTTCAGGTCCAGCGCTACAAGCAGTTCGATTTGGGTATGTCATTTTAGGCGAAAATTGAAAAAAAGGGTCCGATCCTTAAGAGGTTAACACTTTTTGGTTACTACATGATTCCATGTGTTATTTCATAGTTTTGATGTCTTCACTATTATTTTACATTGTAGAAAATAGTAAGAATAAAGAAACACCCTTGAATGAGTAGGTGTCCAAACTTTTGACTGGTACTGTATATAAATACATTTACATACAGGTGTAATATTTCTGTTTTATAGTCACTCCTTTGCAATAGCATTCCACACCAAGCCTCCTGGAGTTTGAAGTATATTGTAACTTTTTTTTTTTTTTTAGAGTTAGTCATTTTGTAGTCCAATTTATCACAACTTACATACAGTACATCTAAAAATAAAAGTGCTTTTCATACATGCTTTGTAAAGCTTTATATTGTGCTTTGTATCATGCTGTTTTTGAAGAGAACATACAGTATTTGTAACGTAGAAAATCCATAATAAAAACACTACAATTCAAGCAAATATGGTTAATGAGATGTTTATCTACAAAGGACAAGAGGATCTACATCTTCATGAACATATATCTATACTCATAGTTTACTGCCCATGAGAAGTAGTTTTTCAAGTCCTTTACATTAACATTGCACATTGCGTTCTACAATCCAAAGTGACATTGTGCTCAACATCGAAACATACTAATTTCAAGCTTTTAAGTTGCATACAGGGTTGGGGTCAATACCATTAAAATAAAGTCAATTCAGAAAGTAAACAAACTGAAATTCTAATTCTGTTCCTGAATTGAAATGAAATAGACCTCAACGCTGGTTCCATCCATGTGGAACAGTGAAACATTAAGCAGCGATAACACAGGTAAAATGCTTGCTAGACAGATTTCCCTTCTCCTTGCAGTGTGAAGACCATCAGTTTTGGGAGAGAGGAGCGAAGAGAGAGAGTGAGGAAAGTGAGAGAGACAGCAACTGGCTGCTAAATTCAAAGGACGGGTATGAAAGCACACTGACCAAATAGCGTGTGAGCAGTTCTGGGAACAGGAGGGGACGTAAAGCAGCACAGCTAACTAAAGTAGGTTATACTACACAGGCTTCCACTAAATGATTCTGCAATGGAGCAATGATTATCAAATTACTTCAATCTTTATTTCTTAGTTTGTCATATGTGTTTAAATTGAGCTATATTGCAGTGGTCATTGTTTTCATATGCATTCTTTCAGTCTCATCCCAAACAAATCTAAAACAATGCCCCAACCATGGGATATATCAAACTGTCCATTCCATGTAAGGTTCATCCCCCCCAAAACATTTTTTAATTATGAGCTGAACTGTCCTGATGGCACGTAAGAATATGCAACGCTTGCTATAGTCATTACATGTATCATCATAAACTTCAACCTCAGCATCATAACTGGGGTTTCATTTCATCAAATTGTCAAAGTATCTCCCTGAGAACGGGTCAACAAGCTATGTTTATACACTGCATCCTTATGCTAAGGATGGCATCACAGTTACATCACAATTATTCATAATAAGTAACAACTATACATTTTAACCTATTATTGACATAACATATTTTCCCGTTTAAACATTTCAACGTAAAAGTCGAGTAGCACATTTACAATTTTTTGTAAGTAATGTTCTTACAAACAAAAGTCAGAATAAAGAATAATAATTCAATCCCTTCAATTAGGAAAAGTGTAATGGGTTTTAAAAGGGGAAAAGGATTAACCAAAAAATAAAATAACCCCAATTTTAAGGCCAGAGAAAAAGTTTTAAAAAAGAAATTGGCAAAAAAAGGAAGGGGTAAACAGAAATTTAAAATTTTAAATTTTTAATTGGGAACGGTTTGGGGAAACTTTGGGCCCAAAAAAGAAAAAACAAAAATTTAATTTGCCCCAAATGAAAAAAAAAAGAAAAGGGGGCCACCTTGGAACGGAAATTTCGCATCATACCAGTAAATCTTCTAGTGTTTTCCTTCTTTTGAGGAAAGAAATCATTTTTGGGAGAAGAGCAAAGGAGAGGTAGAAAGAAGAAAACAATGTGAAAATTCAAGACGGGATAAAGCCACCACACAACAGCGGTCACGGAAAAAGGGGGCAAAACGACGGACAAATTTGATCCCCTGTGATTTTGTACGTTTGCCCACTGACAAAGAAATGATCAGTCTATGATTTTAATGGTAGGTTTATTTGAACAGTGAGAGACAGAATAACAACAAAAAAATCCAGAAAAGCGCATGTCAAAAATGTTATGCATTGATTTGCATTTTAATGAGGGAAATAAGTATTTGACCCCTCTGCAAAACATTATTTAGTACTTGGTGGCAAAACCCTTGTTGGCAATCACAGAGGTCAGACGTTTCTTGTAGTTGGCCACCAGGTTTGCACACATCTCAAGAGGGAATTTGTCCCACTCCTCTTTGTAGATCTTCTCCAAGTCATTAAGGTTTCGAGACTGACGTTTGGCAACTCGAACCTTCAGCTCCCTCCACAGATTTTATATGGGATTAAGGTCTGGAGACTGGCTAGGCCACTCCAGGACCTTAATGTGCTTCTTCTTGAGCCACTCCTTTGTTGCCTTGGCCGTGTGTTTTGGGTCATTGTCATGCTGGAATACCCATCCATGACCCATTTTCAATGCCCTGGCTGAGGGAAGGAGGTTCTCACCCAAGATTTGACAGTACATGGCCCTGTCCATCGTCCCTTTGATGCGGTGAAGTTATCCTGTCCCCTTAGCAGAAAAACACCCCCAAAGCATAATGTTTCCACCTCCATGTTTGACGGTGGGGATGGTGTTCTTGGGGTCATAGGCAGCTTTCCTCCTCCTCCAAACACGGCGAGTTGAGTTGATGCCAAAGAGCTCCATTTTGGTCTCATCTGACCACAACACTTTCACCCTGTTCTCCTCTGAATCATTCAGATGTTCATTGGCAAACTTCAGACGGGCATGTATATGTGCTTTCTTGAGCAGGGGGACCTTGCGGGCGCTGCAGGATTTCAGTCCTTCACGGCGTAATATGTTACCAATTGTTTTCTTGGTGACTATGGTCCCAGCTGCCTTGAGATCATTGACAAGATCCTACTGTGTAGTTCTGGGCTGATTCCTCACCGTTCTCATGATCATTGCAACTCCACGAGGTGAGATCTTGCATGGAGCCCCAGGCCGAGGGAGATTGACAGTTATTTTGTGTTTCTTCCATTTGCGAATAATCGCACCAACTGTTGTCACCTTCTAACCAAGCTGCTTGGCGATGGTCTTGTAGCCCATTCCAGCCTTGTGTAGGTCTACAATCTTGTCCCTGACATCCTTGGAGAGCTCTTTGGTCTTGGCCATGGTGGAGAGTTTGGAATCTGATTGATTGATTGCTTCTGTGGACAGGTGTCTTTTATACAGGTAACAAGCTGAGATTAGGAGCACTCCCTTTAAGAGTGTGCTCCTAATCTCAGCTCCTTACCTGTATAAAAGACACCTGGGAGCCAGACATCTTTTTGATTGAGAGGGGGTCAAATACTTATTTCCCTCATTAAAATGCAAATCAATTTGTAACATTTTTGACATGCGTTTTTCTGGATTTTTTTTGTTGTTATTCTGTCTTTCACTGTTCAAATAAACCTACCATTAAAATTATAGACTGATCATTTCTTTGTCAGTGGGCAAACATACAAAATCAGCAGGGGATCAAATACTTTTTTCCTTCACTCTATATCAAACTGTCCATTCCATGTAAGGTTCATCCCCCCCAAAACATTTTTTAATTATGAGCTGAACTGTCCTGATGGCACGTAAGAATATGCAACGCTTGCTTTAGTCAATACATGTATCATCATAAACTTCAACCTCAGCATCATAACTGGGGTTTCATTTCATCAAATTGTCAAAGTATCTCCCTGAGAACGGGTCAACAAGCTATGTTTATACACTGCATCCTTATGCTAAGGATGGCATCACAGTTACATCACAATTATTCATAATAAGTAACAACTATACATTTTAACCTATTATTGACATAACATATTTTCCCGTTTAAACATTTCAACGTAAAAGTCGAGTAGCACATTTACAATTTGTTTGTAAGTAATGTTCTTACAAAAGTCAGAATATAAGAAAATAAATAATTCAATACCTTTCAATTAGGAAAAGTGTACAATGAATGCACTGTTATTCAAGTCATAACTGTCACAACCATCATTAGTCACAACTATCACAACTGGATATCAAAACTGCTCATGCCAGTTGTCTCACACTACTAAAGCACTTCATTCACAGGTGTGTGCATGATTCTGCAGATAGATATGTTTCTCTGACATTTTATATCCAGAAAACGTAAAGCAAATATATAACAGCTATGCCCTACAGTTGGGAATAATGAACCAGTGAACTACTCAACCTGAACTGCAGCTAAAAATGAAAACTAGAAATTAGGATAACAAGTAATCACTATTTTACCCTTGAATGCTCTTTCAGTTGCATAAAACACTAACTCCACTCAATGGTTTCCCACTGATTCAAGGTGCAATGTTGAACACAGGGCATAGAAGGCGTTATGCCCCTGACACTCACAGTCTCACAGAGTTACAGCAGTCTCAATAACAAAGAATAATAAAAACATGGTGAGTTCCCATAGTGTCTAGGTCGAAAAAAACCCCCAGAGGTTAAGATAACGTAATAATTCCATGTGTCAGCGTTCAAAAATATTGGACCAGCGCTGTTGCGGATTCTACAGGATAAGAATTGAAAACGTGACCAGCGGTTGGGTAATCAAGCTGTAAAGTGGCTGTAGCTCATTTGAAAAACATTTAAACTAATAGAATGACAGTAAAACAGTTATGCTATGTGTTTGCTGAGTAGTTAACAGAAATTCTCTACGATAGTGTTTATTTTCCAATTTGATGGCAAACTTTCTGTACTGCTAACATTCACTTCCAGTCATTTTCACTCCAGCGCTGGTCCAATGAATTTGTTTGTATTCAAACGCTTCTGCATGGAATTATTACATTGTCTTAACCTTCTCCATCTTCAACCTAGCATAGTGTGGCCTCATAACACCACCAATGTCCCATTTAGAGTGAATATTCTATAAGAGGTGAACATTTTAGGTTGCAATTACTCCGTACCGAGTGCACCAACCCAATTCAAGCACTGGGAAACTGGCCCAAAATTTTTTTACCCTCTGGTCAGGAGACGGAGAGAGAGAGACAGTGGTCCTCCTCATCTCTTCACCACCAGACCTGTGGCCTGTTAGGAAGCAGAATGTTCAAATAGGAATGTATCGTGTAGAACAGATATGATTGTCTGTTAGATAGAATAGGAAATCCTGTCAGCTCTCACAATTCTATTTCACATCTCTGAAAACACTTCCTGTGGTTGGGTACAGACAGAGTGCTGCCCTGAGAATGCAGTAAGTGCTGAGCCATGTTAAATAGAAGGGGTCCTCAAGTTCTCAATCCTAACAGCTGATAATGGGCGGGATGGGCAGACTAGGAGAGAAATTCTGGAATTCTGAGGGGCTGAATTGGAATCCCAACTCAAAGCTCTGTGGTCTCCCAGCTGACCTCCCGCGGAACCAGACGTCATTTAGTCCCCATGTGGATGGTGGTGACTGTGGAGGGGCGTGGCCGGGGTGGTTCCACCGCTGCAGCTGGAGCCACAACCTGTGGTTCTGCCTGTGGTTCCACTCCGAAGCTGGCAGGGGCGCTGCAGGCTGCAGGGGAGGGAGGCAGAGGAGGCAGAGTAGGCAGAGGTCGTGGAGGACCTGAGGGGAGAAGAGCAACATCAAGACTAAAGCACTAGAATCACTGAAGTCTACAGTTAATAGAAAACAATTACTGCAACAGAATTGGAGTAAATAATCCTTCCTGAATATGGAATTGCACTACAACATAAGTCAATGGAACCAATAGATGAAAAAGTTAGATAGGCTTGATAAATCCAAAATACTAGACTAAATAGTAAATCGGTAAAGTAACGTAAAGGCGTCATTCAGTCACCGTCTTTGCGTGAGAGGGTGGCACAGTCTACAGACATGCTCTTGGCCAGCATAGAGTTCGGGTCCCTGTTGGTCCATACTGCTGCCAAAGCTACTGTTCAGACTACTGCCCAGCTGCAAGCGCCTCATATGACGAATCACTGCCGTGGCGTTAAACGCTTGCTGTGGAGGAAACAGAGAGAGAAAAGGAGGGAGAGGAGGCAGGTAAGGAGAGATAGCGAGAGGAGAGCAGGCATGCAAAATAGACAGGATACAGATAGGACAAATAAATTACAGTACATTTACATTTACATTTTAGTAATTTAGCAGACGCTCTTATCCAGAGCGACTTACAGGAGCAATTAGGGTTAAGTGCCTTGCTCAAGGGCACATCGACAGATTTTTCACCTAGTCGGCCCGGGGATTAGAACTAGCGACGATGTTTATGTTGGACACAATTTAAAATGTGTACTTGGTAAATTAGTACTTTTTGCATGCTTGGGTGTTTAATATTAATGTGTTTTTATAATCAAATATCATGTGGGATGGGCCACAGGGGGTGGCAGGACAAAAAAATAATAATAAAAAAAGGAAAAAGAGAGAAGAGTAAATTGGATACCCACCCTCCATTTGCTTTTGGCAAAATTTTTCCTCATCTGCCGACTGACTGATTCATGGATGTTCTTGCAGAGAGCTGTGTCCCCAGCAATCCTGAAATACAAAGTCTGTTTATTGGTTAAAAAGTATTGATAAAGAACATGTAGTGTGCAGATGTTTTTCTTTTTACATGGTTAAAATTCCTGGCCTGGGTATCTATCACCAGCTCCAAGGTGTTGGATGTGTACTGACCTGTCTCACGTTATATAATACCCACCTGTTACAACCACCCATTGTGAGTCTGTATAAACTCTATCAAGCCACAATAGGCCCAAGACAGAATGGCTAGATTGCAACGGACAGGCATAATTTAACCTGCTCCTGCAGGTTACCGCTAGATTTCTTAAAACGCTAGTAACATGAGATTACATGCACCTGCGGGCTAAACTAAGCTTGATTGCAACGAAAAACCCACAAGGATAAACCAGCAGATCAGTTGATCTCTCATTGTTACCGTATCAAGTGATTATGATACCAGACAGCTGGTCTAGATTCTCTATTTGAAATATCGACCTACCAGGAGCATCAGAAACAGTAAGGCTGATTAATGTTAAAATACTTATTTGAGTATAAGAATACAGAAGTAGTAGGCCTATATTTCAATCAAACGTTTCACCTTAAATGGCAAAACATTATAATATATGCCATTCGAAATAACTTTAGACTACATTTTCCTTTGATAAAACTCAATCACGATTTAGTTACACATTTCAAATAAGGACTATCCAGGGATATTTTACCCCCAATCTTGATAAGAAATTACCATATTAGACAATTTTCTTTTAAAGACTGTTGTATTTAATGGACTATATAAATTTGAAACAAATAAAATAATGAGTAGGCTACACCGTCAACATTAGTTTTCCGTGTCGGGTAATCTGCCACAGTAGATTTGCTGTGGTAAATGAGGAAATGCTTTATTTCAGTTGTACGAAATGATTGTCAAATATATAAATCACCCTTAGTCTGCTCATAAAGTAGGACTAAGTTGTTCCAATGATAATACCAACCAGAGGGCAAAATTGTCTTAAATGTAATCAAGACTAAAAGACAATCTCGACATCCCCATTCGGGAGTCGTAAATCGCTGGCCAATGTTGGTTGCAGTTGAGATCAGCTGTGTGCGTGATTTTAGCACGTATTGATGGTTTAATGAGACATCAGCTGGTAATAACCTGGTGGCTTTCGATGGTTGCAATTGGCCTAAGATGTCCAAACAAGAGGCAATAAGTAAGATGCAATACGCCCATTACTAGATGCCTAACAGTCCTGTTCATATTCTACTCCAAAGCCAAGCCAATCACCCACATATTGTCTCTTTCATTAAAGCTACAATCTGGGATTTCTTTTGTAGCTAAATGGCAGCCCCACCACTTGAGTACTGTTCACATCGCAGTTTGAAGTGACTCAAATCAATTTTTTTGCATATCCGATTCAAATCTGTTATTTTCCTGCAGTCTGAACAGCCAAAAAGCACATGGAATCGGATATTTCAAGCGACATTCCGTAAGTGGTTTTAAACCAGATACAAATCTGATTCCTGGTCATGAGACTTGTCTGAATGGTCAAATCTGATGTATTTGCCCTCAAGTTTATAGACTGTTATTTGGCATATCTTGTTGCTTACTAGCTACTGTGTTGACAGTTTGACAAAAACATGTGGTAGCTAACTAGCTTGTTAATTGTTTACAAACAAATGAGTGAATGTGCTAGAAAGCTAAACAGCTACCTAGCTAGCTAGTTATGAGCTAGTTGACTGCTGTGGCTAGCCAAAAGGACTCGTTTTGAAAGTTGGACCATCTTATCCTTTGAGGCTTACAAAGTGTTCTTACACTATGATTTTGAACATTCAAAGCAACTGGGAAACATCCATGGCAGGCATTGTTGTCACCTTAGCTTGCTACATGAACTCTGAGTGATAGGAAGCACAAGCACCACCAATCAGCCTACACCACTGCTCACACACCCGTCATTACTATGACAACTAGCCTAGCCATGTCAGCAAATGACTGCTGTCTGAACACACACAAATCTGATTTTGGTCACTTGTAACTTGCTGTTTGGACAGTCAGTATTCCAAAACGGATTTGAAAAACTGCATAAAGCATAAAGGCCTGCAGTTGGAACAAGGCTTTGATGTCCACTGAACAGATTCCCAGATCACAGACTAATGTTAGGTCTGGCCCAGGCCTGGGAGAGACATGCTAATTGTTCATTAGCGCCTCTGCTTCCCAAATGGCTCCCCATTCCCTATATAGTGTAAACATTCTGACCAGGGCCCATATGGTTCTGGTCAAAAGTAGTGGATTTTATAGGGAATAGGGTGCCATTTGGGACACCCACTGCCTCAGCATTCTCCAAGCATCCTTCAGGATGCAGCCTTCTAATTGGCAGCCATTTATTGAGAAGATTTCTCTCCCTCCTCTAATTCCACTCTCTCTCCCTCTGCCTCTCTCTATCTCCATCCATCTCACCCGGTCTCTGTCTCTGTGTGTGTCTCTGTGTCCCTCTCTGTGTGTGTGTGTCTCTTTGATAGTGTGGTTCCAATTCACTTGTGTGCGTGTCTCTGTGTGTGTCTCTCTCTCTGTGTGTTTGTGTGTCTCTCTCTCTCTGTGTGTGTCTCTCTCTGTGGGTGTGTGTGTCTCTCTCTGTGTGTATGTGTGTGTGTGTCTCTCTCTGTGTGTGTGTGTCTCTCTCTCTCTGTGTGTGTGTGTGTCTCCCTCTGTGTGTGTCTGTGTTTGTCTGCTCTAAGTAACACCTGCGTCACCCAGATATCCTCTATTTGCGTCAGCTTCACCATGGTGCATTGATCCCTTTGATTGCGTGGTTCCAATTCACTTGTGTGCGTGTCTCTGTGTATGTGTCTCTCTCTCTGTGTGTGTGTGTCTCTCTGTGTGTGTGTGTGTGTGTGTGTGTGTGTGTGTGTGTCTCTCTCTCTCTCTGTGTGTGTGTGTCTCTCTGTGTGTTTGTGTGTGTGTCTCTGTGTGTTTGTGTGTCTCTCTCTGTGTTTGTCTGTGTGTGTCTCTTTCTGTGTGTGTGTGTGTGTGTGTGTGTGTGTGTGTGTGTGTGTCTGTGTGTCTCTTTCTGTGTGTGTGTGTGTGTGTGTCTGTCTCTGTGTGTGTCTGTCTCTCTCTGTGTGTGTCTGTTTCTCTCTGTGTGTGTGTGTGTGTGTCTCTCTCTGTGTGTGTGTGTCTCTCTCTGTGTGTGTGTGTGTGTGTGTGTGTCTCTCTGTGTCTCTCTCTCTCTGTGTCTCTCTCTCTCTCTGTGTGTGTGTGTGTCTCTCTCTCTCTCTGTGTGTGTGTGTGTGTCTGTCTCTCTCTGTGTGTGTGTGTGTCTGTCTCTCTCTGTGTGTGTGTGTGTCTCTGTCTCTCTATGTGTGTCTCTGTCTCTCTCTCCCAGTCTCTCTCTCCCAGTCTCTCTCTCCCAGTCTCTCTCTCCCAGTCTCAGACCAGCAGAGCAGAGAGTTTAGGAGGCGGGGAGGGAGTCATGGTGACAGATGACAGTGGGAGGACACGCATGGCACTGCTCTAAGTAACACCTGCGTCACCCAGACATCCTCTATCTACGTCAGCTTTCACCACGGTGCAATGTTCCCTTTGATTGTGCGGTCCCAATTCACTTACCACCCCTTCCCATTGTTCCTAACACTTTGATGTTTACAGATCTGTAATATGGAAGAGATATGAGGAGGCTTTATCACTACACGGACTCTACCTACCCAGACCCTTCAGATCTGCAAACATCAAAGGGTTAGGGCCAAGAGAAAGGGGTATGGAGTGAATTGGGATCAGCAGCTGTATGACGGTGCTCAGTAAGTATGGTGGTAATCAGACACTCACCAGGGGTGGGCTAGAGCCTGGTCACAGGTGAATCTCTTCTCTGGATCCTTCTCCATCAGAGAGCTGATGAACTCTTTGGCTGTATGTGGAACAGAGGAAGATACACACAATCTCACTCATGGGGCTGTATACCATGTACCATTAATTCAAGATAGCATTACACACAAACAATTGTATATGTGCACACACATACACATACAAGCCCAGCTATATCTTACTATACTTCTGAGGAGTTTTTGGGGACCAACAATTGATTCTCATTCAAAATCTTATTTTCCCTAACCCCTTAACCTAACCCTAAAATCGCCATTTTACAAGTGAGGACCGGCAAACTGTCCTCACTTCTCTGAATTTTAGTTGGTTTACTTTTCTTGTAAGGACTTATGGTACTGGATCCCACATGGCACTTGCAACGCCAATGTGGTGGGTTCAATTCCCACAGGGGACAAGTACGGAAAAGTATGAAAATGTATGCACTCACTAGTTTAAGTAGCTCTGGGTAAGAGTGTCTGCTAAATGACTAAAATGTAAAATGTGTACACACACATGCACACATGCGTACAGATGCAAACACACACAACTCACCTGAATCCGATATATCATCCCAATAGGGTGCATCAAACTCATAGTCTGCCTTGAGTATCTGCTCAAACAACTTAGAGTCATTCTCGTCATAGAATGGAGGGTAACCACACAACCTAGGGGACAGATGATAACATATCAATATACAGTGCCTTCAGAAAGTATTCATACCCTGGACTTATTCCACATTGTGTTGTGTTACAGCCTGAATTCAAAATGGATTAAATATTTGTTTCCTTCTCATTTACATAACTGTTCACACCTTGTAGCCAATACATGTTAGAGTCACCTTCGGCAGTGATTACAGCTGTGAGTCTTTCTGGGTAAGTCTCTAAGAGACTGTACAATATTTTCACATAATTCTTAAAACAATTCTTTAAGCTCTGTCAAGTTCGTTGTTGATCATTGCTAGACAGCCATTTTCAAGCCAATTTAGGTCAAAACTGTAACTAAGCCACTCAAGAACACTCAATGTCGTCTTGATAAGCAACTCCAGTGTATATTTGGCTTTGTGTTTTAGGTTATTGTCCTGCTGAAAGGTGAATTTGTCTCCCAGTGTCTATTGGAAAGCAGACAACCAGGTTTTCTAGAATTTTGCCTGTGCTTATATCTATTCCATTTTTCTTTTTCTCCTAAAAAACTCCCTAGTCCTTGCCGATGACAAGCATACCCATAGCATGATGCAGCCACCACCATGCTTGAAAATATGAAGAGTGGTACTCAGTGACGTGTTGGATTTGCCAAAACATAACGCTTTGTATTCAGGACATAAAGTTCATTTCTTTGCTGCAGTTTTACTTTAATGCTTTATAACAAACAGGATGCATGTTTTGGAATATTTGTTATTCTGTACAGGCTTCCTTCTTTTCACTGTCAATTAAGTTAGTATTGTGGTGTAACTACAATGTTGTTGCTCCATCCTCAGCCATTAAACTCTGTAACTGTTTTAAAGTCACCATTAGCCTCATGGTGAAATCCCTGAGCGGTTTCCTTCCTCTCCGGCAACTGAGTTAGGAAGGACGCATGTATCGTTTGTAGTGACTGGGTGTATTGATACACCATCCAAAGTGTAATTAATAACTTCACCATATTCAAAGGGATATTCAATGTCTGCTTTTTTTTTACCCACCTACCAATAGGTGCCCTTCTTTGTGAGGTATTGGAAAACCTCTCTGGTCTTTGTGTCTGAAATTCACTGCTCGACTGAGGGACCTTACAGATAATTGTATGTGTGTGGTACAGAGATACGGTAGTCATTCAAAAATCACGTTAAACACTATTTCTGCACACAGAGTCCATGCAACTTATGTGACTTTTTAAACACATTTTTACTCCTGAACGTATTTAGGCTTGCATAACAAAGGGGTTGAATACTTATTGACTCAAGACATTTCAGCTTTTCATTAATTTGTAAAAATATCTAAATTTCACTTTGACATTATGGGGTATTGTGTCTAGGCCATTGACACAAAATATGAATGTAATCAACTTTAAATTCAGGCTGCAACACAACAAAATGTGGAACAAGTCAAGGGGTGTGAATAGTTTCTGAAGACACTGTATATGCTCTGTGTGAGTGTCATTTGGATTTCTGGCCATTTTTATTCCCTTTGGCAAAGAGTTTAGATTATCCCCGTTATGCAAAGTAATAATGCAAAGTTGCTAGTTAGAGAAATGATACAGTAAACATTATGGTTTGTCATGATAATGTTACTGGATGTTTAATTCTGACAAATATGTCAAAATGACAGCTATTTCTAAATGAGTAGGCCAATTGAATCTAGTATCAACATCATTGGGATTTTGTATCACATTAGTGTCTACACGTTCTCTCATTAACCACAATGCACTGCAACAACTTTCTTATTTTTGAAACTATTCCACCTGATTACCTTAACAGCATTCACATCTAACGAGTATTGGGTCACTATCGAGCAGTTTGACTACAGTTAATTGATTTGGAAGCTTAATGTAGATGCATTTGTCAGGGCTGCTTTTAGAAGAATATAATACAACAGATCTGTACAGCACCAAAGATAATGTGTTACATGGTCACACTTTTATAAAGGTTATACAAATGATTCCCAAATCATTTGAGTGAATGTTATAAGTTATATACTTTGCTTAAAGTGTGACCTGTTACATATGGATAGCCAAACTACCATCCACCCTCAATAACCATAAAATCAATGCACAATATCTATAATCAGGAGCTCAACTATTCACTCTGATATTACATCAAACAACCATATGTTATGGTCGGTTACTAACCTAACATAGCAGGCGTAAAATAAATGACTGAGCAGCGTTTCTTTCTGTCTGGTCCTGACGAGAGAAAAAATAAACTGTCGGGGAGGTTCTCTTCTGCACTGTTCAACCAATCCAGTAAATGTGGAGGAGGATTTAAGATGGAGTGTCGCCTTTTTAACGTCAAAAGGGGAAGTCGTGTCACGGGCTCTCTCTTTGCATGTCCCCTGAAAACCGGATGCATCCGGTTGTTTCCAGCCCCACTGAGGTACTATGTTATGAGGTACTTACAGAATGTAAGCGATGACTCCGATAGACCAGCAGTCCACTGCTTTGCTGTAGGGCTTCTGAGCCAGAACCTCTGGGGCTGTGGGGAACAACATAAGGTTCAGAGGGAGATTTAGAACATTGAGGCCTTGCATAACAATCCCTGTGTTGAGCTTGAACTGACACTATCAAAGTACGTTCCAAACATACTGGTGTGGATAGGACATAAGGATTCTTCCACATTAACCCCCAAGTAGACAAGGACATAATAGAAGTAAGGGAGAGCCGAAGCTCTGTTGCCATATGTTCTTATGGAGGGCTTTTCAGCAACCACCCACTACTTCACCACTGTATCTACTAAACTCCTAATCATTTTGTTTGGGTGAGGTTTCCCCCGGTCAGAAGGTGAATTATGTTTAGGTTAACCCAGAGGTAGAGATACGTTTAGGTTATGTCAAGGTTGGGTCTCTACTGCAGACTTCCTTATGTCATCATGGCTGGTCTTCCTTCCATTTTACCTAATGAAACCCATAGCAGGTTGTACTGTAACACGTTGAATTATATCTCAACTAACCCGTTAAGGTCGATAAACTGTATCAAGGCTTAAGATTCAAGGCCTGGTTATTTCATGTTCATGAATGTTGCATTTTACCTAATGAAACCCATAGCGGGTGGTAACTATAAAAAAAGGTCTACAAGTTTAAGAGATTACATCTTACCACAGGAAACCCATTGTGTGTGGTAACCGTAAAAAGTCTATACTTTACTCCAGGATACCCATTACGGGCGGTAACTATAGAAACAAGGTTGCTATATTCACGTCAGGGGAATTTAGTGACGTGTCATCCTATTTGCAACGCACCTCCTTGTTATTGCATTTCCATTTCCTTTTTTGTGTATTGCACTTGCATTCAGTAGCATCTATGAATCTATGAAGGCAGAAATGTATGAAAGCGTGTATACTTTTTTTGCATTTATGTAGTTTTGTCTTTGTGATGTACTTGTCTATTCATGTTATGTATTATGTCATGTTTATGTTTTGTGAGGACCCCAGGAAGAGTAGCTACTGCTTTAGCAGTAGCTAATAGGGATCCTAATAAAATACTACTACTAGAGAGAACAGCCTCACCCACATATCCTGGCGTCCCACAGGCAGTGGCCATCACGTCTCCTGTCCCCTCCATCTTAGACAGACCAAAGTCACTGATCATGATCTTCGCCTCATCATGGGGGTTGTAGTAAAGCAGGTTCTCTGGCTGAGAAAATAAAACAATCAATATTGGGAAATAAGATCATTGAGCTGTGTGTGTGTGTCTCACTCAGTACCTTGAGGTCTCTGTGTACGATGCCCATAGCGTGGAGGTAGTTGACAGCGTCAAGCACCTGTTTAATGAGCCTGCTGGCGTCCATCTCTGTGTAGAAACCCTTCTCTACGATGCGATCAAACAACTCACCACCAGACACCCTGAGACAGAGACAGAGGTTTAGTCAATCTAACCCAACCGTAACCCTAGCTTCAGGTCTAGATCTTGGTTCAACTTCAACCCTAACCCTTACCCCAACCCTGGCTTCATGTCCAGATCCTGGTTCAACCCTAGCCTCAACCACAACCCTAACGCTAGCTTCATGTCCAGATCATGGTTCAACCCTAGCCTCAACCACAACCCAACTATACCCCTGGCTTCATGTCCATGTCCTGGTTCAACCCTAGCCTCAACCACAACCCTAACCCTTTATGATGCAGTCAAACAGCTTTCCTCCAGATAATCTGAGGACTGAATTAACCTACCCCTCACTTAGAGCTGGTTTCCCAGATACTTAAAACACATGTAACCCTAATGAAGCTTGCTGTCGAAATGTTGGTGAATAAATGATTGCATCGGAGCTAGAGTGTGCAGCTTTATCTTTTCCTTCAAAGGTTTCAGACACTTCATCCTAGTCCTGAATTAAAAGGCTATATCAATAGAGATTCTCCATTGATCATGCTTTTTAGTCAAGGGCGAGGCAAAATCTTTGTCTGGGAAACTTTTTATTAGTCTTTCGCCAGACTGTGTTTGCTACAGTGTTAAAACAACAATGACGCATAAAGGAAACATAGAAGCAACTCTTGGGGAATGCTAATATCCATACAGGTTGCTTTCTAATAGCCAAGGCCAAATGCACCTCGATAGCACTTGAATGCTTACTGCAGCAAAACATGATACATTATCACAGTGATTGATTTGGACCAGTGTACACACTGATACAGAGTACCGGCACATATTATTTTCTACTGCGCGAGTACTGACACCTCTTGTAGAAATATGAACACCGTTTCTACATTATCAGAAAGACAGACAGACACATACAAGACACAGCCAGACAGACAAAATGGTGGTTGAGGTACTGTACTCACAACTGCATGATGAGGTATAGGTGGTTGGGGCTCTCATAGATGTCATCCAAAGCCACAATGTTCTCATGTTTTATCCTGAAGAGGGGAAACAGTAGATTTAATTGACTTACTGTTCTATTAACATCTGATCATTTCAATGCACAGCACAATTAAGCACAATTTCCTCACAAAATGGTTTTATTCATTACATACATCACAACAAAGCAATGTCAGTCCCAAACAGCACCCTATTCCCTATAGTGCACTACTTTTGACCAGAGTCCTATGGGCCCTGGTCAGAAGAAGTCGACTATAAAGGGAATGAGGGTGCCATTTGAAACGCAGATCTTTTCATGTTAAATTGCTCTGCCATTAAGTGTTTTCCAATTTCTTTTTGTTCTCAACAGGCCATAGAAAAAATCTCCTCTGTGTGTGTGCTCGTGGGCGAGAGAAAGTGAGTGTGTGTGTGAGTGGTTGTGTGTGTGGTGACAAGGCAGACAATGAACTTGTTGAAACCTCAACTTCAGTATTTCACCAGCCGCAAAGAGAAATGTTGGGATCCCAAATTGTACCCTATTCCCCATATTGTGCTCTACTTTTGACCAGAGCCTATTGAGCTACATAGGGAATAGGGTGCCATTTGAGATGCATTGAAAGAAAGCCCCTCTGCTCAGAGTTCTAACTAATCATAGGGTGTCCACCCACTCTGCCCAGGGATATTGTTATCCAAGTCGGCACCAAAGACGTTAGGATGAAACAGTCAGAGGTCACCAAGAGCAACATAGCTTCAGCGTGTAAATTAGCTAGAAAGATGTGTCGGCATCGAGTAATTGTCTCTTGCCCCCTCCCTGTTAGGGCGAGTGATGAGCTCTACAGCAGTCTCACAACTCAATCGCTGGTTGAAAACTGTTTTCTGCCCCTCCCAAAATATAGGATTTGTAGATAATTGGCCCTCTTTCTGGGACTCACCCACAAACAGGACCAAGCCTGGCCTGCTGAGGAGTGACGGACTCCATCCTAGCTGGAGGGGTGCTCTCATCTTATCTACCAACATAGACAGGGCTCTAACTCCTCTAGCTCCACAATGGGATAGGGTGCAGGCCAGGCAGCAGGCTGTTAGCCAGCCTGCTAGCTTAGTGGAGTCAGTGTAGTCAGCTCAGCTATCCCCATTGAGACCGTGTCTGTGCCTCGATCTAGGTTGAGCAAAACTAAACATGGCGGTGTTTGCCTTAGCAATCTCACTGGAATAAAGACCTCCTCCAATCCTGTCAATATTGAAAGAGATTGTGATAGCTCACATCTCAAAATAGGGCTACTTAATGTTAGATCCCTCACTTCCAAGGCAGTTATGGTCAATGAACTAATCACTGATCATAATAATCTTGATGTGATTGGCCTGACTGAAACATGGCTTCAGCCTGATGTATGTACTGTGTTAAATGAAGCCTCTCCTCCTGGTTACACTAGTGACCATATCCCCCGCGCATCCCGCAAAGGCGGAGGTGTTGCTAACATTTACGATAGCAAATGTCAATTTACCCCCCAAATATTCGGCTAATAAAAAAGTGGTCAGATGACGCAGATGCTAAGCTACAGGACTGTTTTGCTAGCACAGACTGGAACATGGATTCTTCAGACAGCATTGAGGAGTACACCACATCAGTCACTGGCTTCATCAATAAGTGCATCGATGATGTCGTCCCCACAGTGACCGTACGTACATACCCCAACCAGAAGCCATGGATTACAGGAAACATCCGCACTGAGCTAAAGGGTAGAGCTGCCGCTTTCAAGGAACGGGACTCTAACCCGGACGCTTATAAGAAATCCCGCTATGACCTCCGACGAACCATCAAACAGGCAAAGAGTCAATACAGGTCTAAGATTGAATCATACTACACTGGCTCTGACGCTCGTCGGATGTGGCAGGGCTTGAAAACTATTACAGACTACAAAGGGAAGCACAGCCGCGAGCTGCCCAGTGACACAAGCCTACCAGACGAGCTAAACCACTTCTATGCTCGCTTCGAGGCAAGCAACACTGAAGCATGCATGAGAGCACCAGCTGTTCCGGACGACTATGTGATCACGCTCTCCGTAGCCGATGTGAGTAAGACTTTTAAGCAGGTCAACATTCACAAGGCCGCAGGGCCAGACGGATTACCAGGACGTGTACTCCGAGCATGTGCTGACCAACTGGCAAGTGTCTTCACTGACATTTTCAACATGTCCCTGACTGAGTCTGTAATACCAACATGTTTCAAGCAGACCACCATAGTCCCCGTGCCCAAGAACTCTAAGATAACCTGCCTAAATGACTACCGACCCGTAGCACTGACGTCTGTAGCCATGAAGTGCTTTGAAAGACTGGTCATGGCTCACATCAACAGCATAATCCCAGAAACCCTAGACCCACTCCAATTTGCATACCGCCCCAACAGATCCACAGATGATGCAATCTCTATCGCACTCCACACTGCCCTTTCCCACCTGGACAAGAGGAACACCTACGTGAGAATGCTATTCATTGACTACAGCTCAGCATTCAACACCATAGTGCCCTCTAAGCTCATCACTAAGCTAAGGATCCTGGGACTAAACACCTCCCTCTGCAACTGGATCCTGGACTTCCTGACGGGCCGGCCCCAGGTGGTAAGGGTAGGTAACAACACATCTGCCACACTGATCCTCAACACGGGGGCCCCTCAGGGGTGCGTGCTCAGTCCCCTCCTGTACTCTCTGTTCACCCATGACTGCATGGCCAGGCACGACTCCAACACCATCATTAAGTTTGCCGACGACACAACAGTGGTAGGCCTGATCACCGACAACGATGAGACAGCCTATAGGGAGGAGGTCAGAGATCTGGCCGTGTGGTGCCAGGACAACAACCTCTCCCTCAACGTGACCAAGACAAAGGAGATGATTGTGGACTACAGGAAAAAAAAGAGGACTGAGCACGCCCCCATTTTCATCGACGGGGCTGTAGTGGAACAGGTTGAGAGCTTCAAGTTCCTTGGTGTCCACATCACCAACGAACTATCATGGTCCAAACACACCAAGACAGTCGTGAAGAGGGCACGACAAAGCCTATTCCCCCTCAGGAGACTAAAAAGATTTGGCATGGGTCCTCAGATCCTCAAAAAATTCTACAGCTGCACCATCGAGAGCATCCTGACTGGTTGCATCACCGCCTGGTATGGCAACTGCTTGGCCTCTGACCGCAAGGCACTACAGAGGGTAGTGCGTACGGCCCAGTACATCACTGGGGCAAAGCTCCCTGCCATCCAAGACCTCTATACCAGGCGGTGTCAGAGGAAGGCCCTCAAAATTGTCAAAGACTCCAGCCACCCTAGTCATAGACTGTTCTCTCTGCTACCGCACGGCAAGCGGTACCGGAGTGCCAAGTCTAGGTCCAAAAGACTTCTCAACAGCTTCTACCCCCAAGCCATAAGACTCCTGAACAGCTAATCATGGCTACCCGGACTATTTGCACTGCCCCCCCACCCCATCCTTTTTACGCTGCTGCTACTCTGTTAAGTATTTATGCATAGTCACTTTAACTCTACCCACATGTACATATTACCTCAACTACCTCAACTAGCCGGTGCCCCCGCACATTGACTATGCAACGGTACCCCCCTGTATATATAGCCTCCCTACTGTCACTTTATTTTACTGTATATATAGCCTCCCTACTGTCACTTTATTTCACTTCTGCTCTTTTTTTCTCAACACTTTTTTGTTGTTGTTTTATTCTTACTTTTTTGTTTAAAATAAATGCACTGTTGGTTAAGGGCTGTAAGTAAGCATTTCACTGTAATGTCTGCACCTGTTGTATTCGGCGCATGTGACCAATAAAATTTGATTTGATTTGATTTGATTTGAAAATGACTGCGTTTTTGTCTTTTGAGCAACTAGTCATGAAATCTATGCAGCCTACTCAATCACTTTTTATAGCTACTGTTTACAGGCCTCCTGGGCCGTATACAGAGTTCCTCACGGAGTTACCTGAATTCCTATCGGACCTTGTAGTCATGGCACATAATATTCTCATTTTTGGTGACATTAATATTCACATGGAAAGGTCCACAGACCCACTCCAAAAGACTTTTGGAGCCATCATCGACTCAGTGGGTTTTGTCCAACATGTCTCCGGACCTACTCATTACCACAGTCATACCTTGGATCTAGTTTTGTCCCGTGGAATAAATATTGTGGATCTAAATGTTTTTCCTCATAACCCTGGACTAATCGGACCACCATCTTATTACGTTTGCAATCGCAACAAATAATCTGCTCAGACCCCAACCAAGGACCATCAAAAGCCATGCTATAAATTCTCAGACAACCCAAAGATTCCTAGAGGCCCTTCCAGACTCCCTCCACCTACTCAAGGACGTCAGAGTACAAAAATCAGTTAACGACCTAACTGAGGATCTAAATTTAACCTTGCGTAATACCCTAGATGCAGTCGCACCCCTAAAAACATTTCTCACAAGAAATTAGCTCCCTGGTATACAGAAAATACCCGAGCCCTGAAGCATGCTTCCAGAAAATTGGAACGGAAATGGCGCTCCACCAAACTGGAAGTCTTCCTACTAGCTTGGAAAGAAAGTACAGTGCAATATCAAAGAGCCCTCACTGCTGCTCGATCATCCTATTTTTCCAATCTAATTGAGGAGAATAAGAACAATCCAACATTTCTATTTGATACTGTCGCAAAGCTAACTAAAAAGCAGCATTCCCCAAAAGAGGATGCCTTTCACTTCAGCAGTGATGAATTCATGAACTTCTTTGACGAAAAGATCATGAGAAAGCAAATTATGGACTCCTTTTGAATCTGCGTATTTCTCCAAAGCGCAGCTGTCCTGAGTCTGCACAAAACTGCCAGGACCTAGGATCAATGGAGACACTCAAGTCTTTTAATCCTATATCTCTTGACACATTCATGGCCTCTAAACCTCCAAGCTGCATACTGGACCCTATTCCAACTAAACTACTGAAAGAGCTACTTCCTGTGCTTGGCCCTCCTATGTTAAACATAATAAATGACTCCCTATCCACTGGATGTGTACCAAACTCACTAAAAGTAGCAGTAATAAAGCCTCTCTTAAAAAAGCCAAACCTTGACTCAAAATCAGCCTATATCGAATCTCCCATTCTTCAATTTTTTAAGAAAAAGCTGTTGTGCAGCAACTCACTGCCTTTCTGAAGACAAATAATGTATACGAAATGCTTCAGTCTGGCTTTAGACCCCATCATAGCACTGACCTTTTAATAGCGTCAGACCAAGGCTCTGTCCTCGTGCTCCTAGACCTTAGTGCTGCTTTTGACACCATCGATCACCATATTCTTTTGGAGAGATTGGAAACCTTAATAATTGGTCTACACGGACAAGTTCTTGCCTGGTTTAGATCTTATCTGTCGGAAAAATATCAGTTAGTCGCTGTGGATGGTTTGTCCTCTGACAAATTAATTGTAAGTTTAGGTGTTCCTCAAGGTTCCGTTTTAGGACCACTATTGTTTTCACTATATATTGTACCTCTTGGTGATGTCATTCGGAAACACAATGTTAACTTTCATTGCTATGTGGACGACACGCAGCTGTACATTTCGATGAAACATGGTGAAGCCCCAAAATTGCCTACCCTGGAAGCCTGTGTTTCAGACATAAGGAAGTGGATGGCAGCAAATGTTTTACTTTTAAACTCGGACAAAACAGAGATGCTAGTTCTAGGTCCCAAGAAACAAAGAGATCTTCTGCAATGCTCTACTCTCCGGCTACCCGAATAAAGCACTAAATAAACTTCAGTTAGTGCTAAACACGGCTCTTAGAATCTTGACTAGAACCAAACAATTTGATCACATTACTCCAGTGCTAGCCTCTGGCTTCCTGTTAAGGCTAGGGCTGATTAAGGTTTTACTGCTAACCTACAAAGCATTACATGGGCTTGCTCCTACCTAATTCTACGATTTGGTCCTGCCGTACATACCTACACGTACGCTACGGTCACAAGACGCAGGCCTCCTTATCGTCCCTAGAATTTCTAAGCAAACAGCTGGAGGCAGTGCTTTCTCCTATAGAGTTCAATTTTTATGGAATGGTCTGCCTATCCATTTGAGAGACGCAGACTCGGTCTCGACCTTTAAGTTTACTGAAGACTCATCTCTTCAGAAAAAAAATCCAGAAAATAACATTGTAGGATTTTTAATGAATTTATTTGCAAATTATGGTGGAAAATAAGTCAATTTTGGTCAATAACAAAAGTTTCTCAATACTTTGTTGTATACCCTTTGTTGGCAATGACACAGGTCAAACGTTTTCTGTAAGTCTTCACAAGGTTTTCACACACTGTTGCTGGTATTTTGGCCCATTCCTCCATGCAGATCTCCTCTAGAGCAGTGATGTTTTGGGGCTGTCGCTGGGCAACACAGACTTTCAACTCCCTCCAAATACTTTTTATGGGGTTGAGATCTGGAGACTGGCTAGGCCACTCCAGGACCTTGAAATGCTTCTTACGAAGCCACTCCTTCGTTGCCCGGGCGGTGTGTTTGGGATCATTGTCATGCTGAAAGACCCAGCCACGTTTCATCTTCAATGCCCTTGCTGATGGAAGGAGGTTTTCTCTCAAAATCTCACGATACATGGCCCCATTATTCTTTCCTTTACACGGATCAGTCGTCCTGGTCCCTTTGCAGAAAAACAGCCCCAAAGCATGATGTTTCCACCCCCATGCTTCACAGTAGGTATGGTGTTCTTTGGATGCAACTCAGCATTCTTTGTCCTCCAAACACGACGAGTTGAGTTTTTACCAAAAAGTTCTATTTTGGTTTTATCTGACCATATGACCTTCTCCCAATCCTCTTCTGGATCATCCAAATGCACTCTAGCAAACTTCAGACGGGCCTGGACATGTACTGGCTTAAGCAGGGGGACACGTCTGGCACTGCAGGATTTGAGTCCCTGGCGGCGTAGTGTGTTACTGATGGTAGGCTTTGTTACTTTGGTCCCAGCTCTCTGCAGGTCATTCACTAGGTCCCCCCGTGTGGTTATGGGATTTTTGCTCACCGTTCTTGTGATCATTTTGACCCCACGGGGTGAGATCTTGCGTGGAGCCCCAGATCAAGGGAGATTATCAGTGGTCTTGTATGTCTTCCATTTCCTAATAATTGCTCCCACAGTTGATTTCTTCAAACCAAGCTGCTTACCTATTGCAGATTCAGCCTTCCCAGCCTGGTGCAGGTCTACAATTTTGTTTCTGGTGTCCTTTGACAGCTCTTTGGTCTTGGCCATAGTGGAGTTTGGAGTGTGACTGAGGTTGTGGACAGGTGTCTTTTATACTGATAACAAGTTCAAACAGGTGCCATTAATACAGGTAACGAGTGGAGGACAGAGGAGCCTCTTAAAGAAGAAGTTACAGGTCTGTGAGAGCCAGAAATCTTGCTTGTTTGTAGGTGACCAAATACTTATTTTCCACCATAATTTGCAAATAAATTCATTAAAAATCCTACAATATGATTTTCTGGAGAAAAAAAAATCGCAATTTGTCTGTCATAGTTGACGTGTACCTATGATGAAAGTTACAGGCCTCTCTCATCTTTTTAAGTGGGAGAACTTGCACAATTGGTGGCTGACTAAATACTTTTTCCCCCCACTGTATGGAGCCAGATTCCTGCCAAAAGGTTGAACGTACGTATCGTTAGGATGGTAAGAAAATCCATACGTAAATTGTTAGGATCATAAGAAAAGCCATGCGTGAAACATGAACGCAAACGTGAAATTTCATCTGTGAACATACAAACACCATGTTACAATTACAGACTAACCTTTTAGGCTTGAACAAATCTTGTGTTGCAATTCTGATGAAACTCTAAAAGGTATTATTGTACATCTCACCAACAACAAAAAAACGTACACCAACGGTCTGTGAGGAGTACTACTCGAACAAGTATAACGCAGTATAAAAACAATTTGAAGTCAGGAAGACCGGAAAGAGGTATCCTGCATGCTTTCAAGTTAAAAGTCTCCATTCTCTATTACTCCTGTTGAGTTTACTGCACATTTAGGTAGCTAACGTAATGGATTTGTTTGCCAGCGCAGGTCTAGATAGCACTAGCTGTATTATGCCTACAACAGTGAAGTTTCAGTCCGCTAGGTGTATCTCTACAGCATGGGCATATCTCTGGGTGACGTGGACATCCCCATGCATGCACCTTATCAAAATATGCCTAATTCAATATTGCACCATCCCATTCTCTAGGCTCTGTTTGCAACCACAACCAGTAGTATATACCAGGAATAATGAGACATAGAATAATAATAGATGTTTGGTGAATCTATGAATTATGTATGACCACTCTTTTGCAGTGGTCTTAGGTAGTCTCCGTATAGGCTACTACCTCCACGGCGACACTGCTGTCCAGTTGAAGAGCTTGTGATCTCCATGCAGCACCATGCGCCTTGGGAAAAGCACCCCTCAGCCTCAGAAGATGCCCTTCTGGAGGCATGCAGCCATAGAGTCATTATACCCTAATGTAGGCCTATTTGCCTACTAACCAAATAAAGTGCAGAGCATGCATGATGCGTGCAACTCGTCATTCCAACATACTTGAACATTTAATTCATCCTTCATGTCAGTTCAGTCAGTCAGTATGTCATCCATTCAGTCATTTGTCTGAGTTGCAATAGGAACTAAATCAAAGAGAATAGAACAGTCTTATCGAAAATTCATGTGTATTCAAAATTATCTAAATTCTCCAAAGTTGTTTAGCCTATCACTTTAATAATTCAATGTTAAAATTAGGCATATCCAAATAAAAAAATTGGCCTTCAACTTGTAGGCATTGCAATTTAGGATATCATTTTGGGTACTGGTGACTTGCGGAATAATTTTAGAACTCTATTTGTGTTTTATAACTGTTTTTATTATAGGCCTCCCCTTAAAAAGAGCTCCCTAGCTCACAGGCCTTTAAATATAGCCTCTAAATAAATGTTAAACAAAATAGTTGAAGAAGCACATGCAGTGGCTGATAGGGAAAACAGATCTGGCAATATGAATAGGCTATAGATAGTCTAGAACATTTGGGACCCCTTGGCTATTTGGCTCAGGTCAAGTTATAACTAAGAATTAATCAATATTTAGTTTTGTCTCATTTATTGAAATGGATATAGCCTCTGCGTGATGGGGTTGTGCAACACAAATGGCTATAACAAGCCTACATACAGCGTGGAATTCATTAATAAAACAGTCCAAATGCCTAATATAAGGCCTACAGTCCGTGCTCCCAAATACTGGAAAAAGTGTGATTCATTAGGTTACATGACCACCACAGCAGCCTCACGTGGCTATAAAAATAAATTCTGCAATTATATGGCCGTTAAATAACACACAACAGCATGGCATATTTAGATAGCGGAATAGTCCTAAATCATATTTACTTTTGTGGTATCTAAGGAATTTATGACTTTGTTAGCTTTGCAAATGGTAATGAGGTATCTAAGGAATTTGTGACTTTGTGGGCGTTTGCAAATGATAGTGTGGTATCTAAGGAATTTATGACGTTGTTAGTGTTTGCAAATGGTAGCTTAGAGAATGTTGATTTGGCCCAGGGAGACATCTGGAGAGCAGTTCTATAGGAGTACCCTAAAACAGAGGAAGTCTGTTGTGTGGAGTGATGGGATTGGTCTGTAGGGGAAACCACCCCTATCTTGGTAAAGATTATAAATACTTGGTGAAGACAAAGGAGGTCAGAACAACATATTATTTTGGGTCCACTGTTCTCCAGATGCCTGCAGGTATCTGTAAATCGACGCTGAAATCCTTTGTTATGAATAAACCTTTATAATCAAAGTACAGTGTCAGCGGATCTCCTTGTCCTCCACAGCATGATTAGCAACATGTTGTCAGACACTTTCTATGTTGCAGCTCAGGTGGTTGTTCTAGACAAGGCTCTTCTGTCTTTATCATTCTCACACAAGTCATTTCCTGAAGGCCCAAGCCTATACTGCGTCATCTACGGGTATAACGTCATTATTGAATGCGTGAAACATGAAATGTAAACGTTAAAATAGATCTGTAAACGTACAAACCCTATGTTAAAAAAACATTTTGGAAATTAAACCGGAAGCTGCAAAGCAACTCTAACGTCTGTGCTAGAGTTGCTTGATTGACTAGCTAACTTCGACTAGCTACGTTCGGTTCATGTCCTTTACAGATGTCACATTACTGACAAAAGTTTGTACGCATAAATATCATCTGTAACTGAGTAAAGGGAGACGTAAAGTAAGAATTGAATGTGGAAATATTAATTAATAGGTCGTAACATAGTTACATATGTACGTTTACAGATCTATTTTAACGTTTACATTTCATGTTTCACGCATGGCTTTTCTTACGATCCTAACAATTTACGTATGGATTTTCTTACTATCCTAACGATACATACGTTCAACCTTTTGGCAGGTATTTGGCTCCATACCTATACTATGTACCTGGTTTGAGAAGTTAACGAGGTAACTTTGGTCAACTGAGTTAAACTCTGGATAACCCAGTGGGGAAAAAGGTGCTTGTGATTTGATAAACACACCAAAGGCGGCATCAACAATAAGTAATAAAATAAAGACGCACAAGTAATAACATAAAGATATTCTATACTTCTAAAATCCTATTTCACACCATAGCCTGCTGAATTTGCAAGATCACTTTTTTCTCATTTTGATATCGGCACAAATGATAACGTGGCACTGAATCGCCCATGGATTGATGTTTCAGCATTGTCTCAATGAAGAGTTTGGCGTTCGACACGCACACGCAGTTACAAGCCTGCGAGAGTTAGCGGCAGGCGGACGAGCAATATCCACTGTCGTAAGACGGATGACGCCCGAGCTAGAATGTGACGCTAACTGAAGCTGGCTAGCTTAAGAAAACCCTGAGTAGATCTAGCTTGCATGACGGGCCTGTCATGTGGACTCTATAGACTGACAGAGTGCATGTACAGTATGAGATTCAACATGTAAGTTGCTTTGAATATCAATGACTGCTAAATAAACAAGGTAGAATTGTGCTGTATTGGTATCACAACTTCAGCCCTAATTTTCAGCGGCTGATAGGCCAGATATGGAGGAGAGGTCCAAGATTTGATTCCACCTTGGAGATGATATACATTGATGATCTTTTATAAAGGCATGGTGTCATCTTAGGAGGGTTGGGTTTCCTTCATTAAGATCCCCATAGTGAAGTCCAGTGTTATGGTAACTACAGTTTTTATATTTAATAAATAGATAAGAGTTGAAGGCAGACAGGAAAGGAGAGAGAGATTTGTGTCAGCATAGCAACAGCATGGAGTTTGCGCCTGTGCAGACATGGGCATATGGTTCCCCCCCTAGATCCCCCTCAGGGCCCATGGTACCTACTTCCTAAGCACGGCAATTTCATTCTCAATGCTGGTCTCCTTCCCCTTCAGTGCTTTCTTAGGGATGCACTTCACTGCAACCATCTTCCCTGTGGCCTTCTCCCTGGCCATGACCACCTCTGAGAATGCACCACTGTGGAGAGAGAGAGAGAAAGATAGAGATAGGGCGGAGAGAGTGAGAGAGGGGGGGGGGGGGGGGGGGGGGAGAAGGAGGGGGGTAGTGAGAGAGACAGAGAGACGGGAGAGTAGAGGGAGAGAGAGTACATAGGTTAACTTTGCACTGTAACTTTGCACAGAGCGCATAGGTTAACCATTGCACCGATTCCCCAATTACCCTCTGGACATCACCCATCTTGTGCCAACTCACCACACCTGAACTCACTCTGATAATCACCATTCCTCTCCCATTCCTCTGGTATAAAGTAGCTTGTGTTTTCCTTAGTGTTTGTTCAGTGTGGTGGCATGGGGCGGCCCAAATCCTTATTCCTTTGTTGTGCGGACCTGACTCTAAAGGAAGTGCCCTTTATATGTATGGTGAATTGTATAATGCTAACTTTCTAGCCTGTATGTTTATTGTCAGTCAGACCGTTTATGATGCTATACTTTCCTTAGAATACTTCCTTTGTCGTCTTGTATATCCTGTTCCATAGATATTGGTAAATGTCTTTTGTTTTGGTTAGCATGCAACCTCCTATCATAACTTGTATCACAAACTTACCTACCGGCCTTACAAGCAATGAAATCTCCATCCATGTGCACCTGTGTCCTTGTGCTGTGCTTTTTTAAAGTTAGTTAATAAATACCCTGAACTGGAAACCTTGTCTCCAACCATCATTCCTGCGTTCTTACAGATGCACCATAGTGGCAACATCACTCCTCAACCTAAGACACAGTCCACCCTAGTCCCTTTCATTACATGCACACAATATTGACACTGTCGAGAGAGCTAGAAAGCACACAAAAAGCCCATATAGGGTAGACTAACAGCAAATTGTGAATATTTACTGAGGGTCCATAGATGCAGACAACAGAAGTCCATGTTGATGTGTGCACACCGTGTGTGTGCATATGCATGCAATAGCACTGCAAACACCTGTATACCTTTCAAACATACCCATTTGCTATTCCAGGTAGAGATCTCTTTGGCCACCTGGCTCCATACATAAAACCTTTATAAAAGCAAATGTGGAATTACAGGAACATTTGCACAAGCAATCTGCATCTGTTGCTATGCTATGTCGATGCTCAGTCCACCTGAATGAATGTATGAGCTGGCTACACGATCAGTTTCCTCCATTATAGTTCCTCTCCTTCCCGATGGCTACCCCTTTCTCCCTCCTATACTCTCTCCTACTTTTCTATATTTACTTTTGTGTCATTATCTTCCCTGCTCTTTAACCACACAACAGAAATAAGAGCCTGAATGTTAGTCATTATCATACACACGCACACACACCCCTATACACACCATCCCTACACACACCCAGTCAGAGAGTAACCTCTGTGGTAGTGCTGTCTTTTTAAAGCCATGGCTCCTGTCGAGGGTCTATTACAGGGATAGGCCACTGGTAGGCCAGCGGATCAATCCCTCCCCACCACACCGCAAAAAGTTGGGGTCTCAACCTATTGTTGAGTAGAATTGTAGAATTCACCAGGGAGCTATTTTGAAATGTGCTTGTGCATCAGCAGTTTATATTTTATGTCAGTCACTGAGTCACTCAAAATAGCTCCTGTTTTTTTTTGTTGGTTAGTCTAGCCAGCTATCTAAACTTGTAATCATGGTCGAATGACCGACCGTGGGGCCCCCACTGATTTTGTTTCTCGCTCAGATATATGTAAAAACTGGAAACATTTCTCTCCACCCTATGGAGAAATGTGTGTAGAATTGCAGGAAATTAGTTGTAAAACTGCTATTTGTTTTCTCAGCCCCAAGGCAAAATTAGTAGAATTGCATCAAACTTGCTTTAAACTGCAACATTTTCTCTACGCCACATGGCAAAATGTGTAGAATTGCAGGAAATTAATTAGAAAACTTCAGCTGTCAAGAGGAGGGCCGCTAAAAGGTTTTGATCGCAAGGTGGGGGGGGGCAACAGAATTTCGCTTAGGACACCCAAAAGGCTAGGGCTGGCTCTGACTGCAAGCATGGGTATGCAGACAGAGCCACTGTGTGTAAAATCGGCTCCTTTCAGCAGGCTCTAAACTCAGCTGTAGTCGGCCTGCTAAACCTCCCCTGGTCATCAAATCCACGCTAATCCTGCTATCCTCTACACCCCATAGATCATATATACAGTAACACACACACACACACACACTCCACAGCAACAGGCAGGCCACTACAACCCTCCTATAACCACCTACCATCTCTCTGCTGCAGCATTGAGACTCATAAGCAGCTGCATTTACTCCTCTGTTACTGTGTGTGTGCGCATGTCTGTAGTGTGTGTGTGTGAAAGGTGTTTCGTGCATGTCTTTACCAGAGCATTGTATAGTTTGCTCTATGAGTCAGAGTGAAAGGAACACAATGATTAAAACCACAGGAAGCCTGGAGGGGATGTTACAATGCACAGAAGCAACTGTTCACCACACACACAGTTAGAAAATGGTTGCTGCTGTGCATTCTCACACAGGGTGTGCCAGCATCATTTCCTGCTGGTAACTACACAGCCGAACACCACAGAGAGTTCTCTCTCAGTCACTACATGACACACACACGGTACATTAAACATTATACACAATAGGGTCTCCCACAATATAGGCAACTCCTTATGGGTGGAAGTTGGGATATCTTTTCTTGAGGTTAAATTAAAACATTTGTGGCCTCCCGAGTGGCGCAGTGGTCTAAGGCACTGCATCGCAGTGCTAGCTGTGCCACTAGAGATCCTGGTTCGAGTCCAGGCTCTGTCGAGAGCCGGCCGCAACCGGGAGACCCATGGGGCGGCGCACAATTGGCCCAGCGTCGTCCAGGTTAGGGGAGGGTTTGCCGGCAGGGATGTTCTTGTCCCATCGCGCACTAGCGACTCCTGTGGCGGGCCGGGCGCAGTGCACGCTGACACGGTCGCCAGGTGTACGATGTTTCCTCCGACACATTGGTGCGGCTGGCTTCCGGGTTAAGCGGGCATTGTGTTAAGAAGCAGTGTGGCTCGGTTGGGTTGTGTTTCGGAGGACCCACGGCTCTCGACCTTCGCCTCTCCCGTGTCCGTAAGGAAGTTGCAGCGATGGGACAAGACTGTAACTACCAATTGGAAATGGTGGAGAGAAAATAAAACAAAAAACATTTGTGCATACACACAGTCAGACAAGAGAGCGACTATGTTTTTAAAAACTAGACACCTTATGTCAAGTCTACTGTGTTTGACTATAATCCAAGGTGTGAGCAGGAAAGTAAGCGCAGCATTAAATTGAGGAGAAAAGCTTCATCTGAATTTGGCTCTTGATTAAAACTCATTTCAATCCATTACTGGGATTAAAAATTACAGCGTGGCTCCACAAAATGGCTTCGACTCAGTCACATACTAGTGCGCTATCAGTGTGTGTATGTCATAGACTAGTTTGCTTTGACCTTGAGCACTTTACAGCCATGAATACACTGACTCTCTTTTGCTCTGCTTTCGTGGAATAAGTGGCTGATTAGCTCCTAGTCGGTTACCCCAAAAGGTCCTTCCAGAGTGAATAGGCCCTTCCTCTATGAGCTACACTCGCAGGATAAGAAACCTTGTCTGAGACCTGAAGACTTACGTTGGCTTCCCGAGCTAATGCCTAGGCTTTAGCGGAGTGGCCTAACCTAGTCTCGTGACACACGAGATCCAGTTTTGAACCACAGTTGGTCACACCTACATTGCCGTGTATGACTTGTACACAAGTTGAGACCAGGCTAAGATGCTAGCTAAGCTGACTAATGGATATTCATCCTCTGTGAAACCCATTGGAGGGCTGCTGAAGAGGGATGCTGCTGTATGCAATAAGCCTGCAACAAGACACCCAATTCATCCAGTACTCTGAGGCTCAGGGCACTCAAACATGAAAAGCACTTGCACATTCTAAGATTCTTTTAGCGAGTCCGCTTAGGAAATGTTTATATGTAACTTTAGAGAAAAGAGAAACCTGATATTGACAGGTGCAGTGTGATGTTTTTTTCTTTCCTCTAAAGAGCACGGGGCACTAGCATAACAACCGTTGGCAATTATGCAAATACAGAGTGAGTTTATGTAAATGTTAAGGTGTGGAGTGGTTTTGGAATCTGTTTCCCGGGGGCCGAGCTAGGCTAGAGTTGGTGTGTGTGTGTGTGTGTGCGTGCGTGCGTGTGAGAGAGCGTGCCGTAGTCACGGCCTGTGCTGCTGCTATAGCTGCTGAGTCAGTGTAATCACAGAGAATCATCTTGTGTAAGACGCATTAGTGCTCCGCTTATGTCATCTATTGGATGGAAAGTCATTGCTAGGCTAGATAATCCTGGTGGGGTAGAGCATGTACTGGTCTAATGGAACTCAAATTAGAATTCCCTTTAGGATTGAGTTCATGGTCATTGTTCGGCTGCAGAACAGTCAACAGACCACAACCTCCCTCGAGTACGGTCACTAGTGTCTTTGTCCCTTGTCAGGACTATTCAGTTACCACTACAGTGTTATATGCCAACATTCAACAAAACAAGCAATGTCTAAGGCATATAATATGTCATGTCTCTCTAGTAGACAATTACAACTGACTCAAAGCGGATGTAATTTAGTCAGGATCACAATGAGATGATAATTATATTATAAGCGGACATGCATCCTTATGACAGGTCTTACAATGTATTATAACTGAATCATAATACCTGCAGGCTAAAGTGTTGCCCTCCGCACAAATTAACTTTTAAGAAGACACACCTGTTAATTGAAATGCATTCCAGGTGACTACCTCATGAAGCTGGTTGAGAGAATGCCAAGAGCGTGCAAAGCTGTCATCAAGGCAAAGGGTGGCTACTTTGAAGAATCTAAAATATGAAATATTTTTTGATTTGTTTAACACTTTTTGGGTTACTACATGATTCCATATGTGTTATTTCATAGCTTTGATGTCTTCACTATTATTCTACAATGTAGAAAATTGTAAAAATAAGGAAAAACCCTTGAATGAGTAGGTGTGTCCGAAACTTT